CGCCTGACGACTCCCCTGCCAGAGTTTGGAGCTTTGATTCCCCAACGTGTGACTGCAGCACTGCTCTGCCCCAGTTTCGCCAGCGCCTAGAGACGTGCAGGCACTGCAGCCTTCCACTGCCTAGGAGAAGGCGCAGGAGGGAGCTCAGCACCGATCCAAGAATTTGAGATAGGAGGAGCACCTCGGGAAGGGAAGTCCGTGGCTGTCTTTGCAGCTCCAGATAGGCTGCTTGACTTCCCAAGGTCACCAGGAAGCATGAGCTTCTGGTGATGGAAAGAAGCCAGAGGCAGAGGTGGGAGGCACAAGTCGGAATTCTTCCTTCTGCTTCCAAGAGTCCCCTGGATGGGGGCGTAGGGCGTGGGATGGTGGGATGGTGGGAAGGTGAGGTCACCAGCAGTGTGATCTGGTCAATAGACTTCTCTCTCCAATCTAGTCCCTACTGAGGGGTGTGACAGGAGATACCTGTTGTGTTTTTGTTGAACTAGGAAAGGAACAGTATCAGGGTGGGTGAGGCCTTGTGCCTCATAGGAGGCCAAGTGTCAAAGCAACTGAAATCAAAAGACTTAACTTTTTCCAGCCTACATTCCAAATCCGGTGAAGTGGAGGAAACCACTATTGCAAGAGACCTAGAGGCATACAAACCGACCTTAGTTTCAGAGTCTGTGAACAACAAACTTTTGAATATCCATGGGTCTGGAAAAGCAAAGTTTATGAACTTAGATTGTTGAAAATGTAGGTAACTAACATGAAACACTGTCATAGTAAACCCTTCTTCTTCAAGTCTGTTCAGAAAGACCCAAGGAAAAGATAGGGGTCAAGTGTTTTGTAATTACTTTGTTTATTTTTAAGTTGCTTTTGCTACATACTGAGTAGGTTCAAAGATTATTTAGGATATTAAATATGTGTGTGAGGAAAACACTACACAGAGGGATACCTCTTTCTTGTCACGATGATGCCATCGTGTTCCCACCCTTTCAAAGGTGACCATCTTTCTGAAGGTTGAGTTTGTTATTCCCTTGTTTTTTCATTTGTTTTGATATTGAATATCTCTGTCTACTTACCTGCCATCTAAATATCATTTATCTATATTATCTGTCATATAATTCACCTGTCATAGATCTGCCTGCCTAATTCATCTGCCATCTATATCTATCTTGCCATTCATATTCTTCTGTCATCTCCCTATCATTTTATAGGTTTTTTAGCTGTCTTCACTGATTAGCTCCTTCCATCATTGTTAGAGACTCATCTACTTTGTTGCACATGATAGTAATTTATAAATTTTCCTTGTTATTACTACATATGAGTAACACAATTCTACATACAAGTCAGGGGCCCTCTTTTTCATTTTTGTTATCTGTAGGCCTTGGTTTGATTGCCAGGTTTGTTTGTTTTTGTAAACCGTGCTGTTGTACACAGAGCTGTTTGAGGGTTCTCTGTATGTCTCCAAAGGTGAGTTTCTTCAGTCAATGAAATAGTTCTATAAGGTGTGAGGATGCATTTTTTTTCAACATTGCTATTTGACACCAAGTCATAGGTAGTGGAATCAATGTATACCTCCTCTAGCTCCTTTCCAACCCTATATATGTTTCTAATTTTTGCCAGTTGGGTGGGTAGAATAAGTGATCTCATGAAACTTCAATTTCATTTTCCTGAATCCTAATGAGGTTGAGCAAATTTTATATGCTTATTGATTGTCCTCTTCTGAAAGTGCTTATTCAAATAATTTATTTTTCTAATTGTTTTTCTTTTCTCATTGATTTGTTAAACTCTGAAAAAATAAATCCTGTGAGTAATTCCTTTTTCAATTAGATAGGTTACAGATAGCTCCTTCCAGAAAAACCCTGTCTATTCTTTCTCTTTATGATCAATTTTGATGATCAAATGTTCTTAATTTTTCTGTGGTTGAATTGATCAATTGTTTCCTTTCAAGACATTCTGTGTTTTTTTGGGGGGGAGGGGTTGTTTTTGTGAATTATCTAAGAAATCCTAAGGCCATAGTGTGGGTGAGGATCTGTTTGTAGTTATGATTTGTCAGGAAAGAATCTCTGTTCACTGCCAAGGTTTAAGACAGGTAGTTTTCCTTTTGGTTCCTTGGAAGCATTTGTGAGTTCTTTCAAGTTCAGTTTTGGAGTCAGGACATAGCCAGCCAGGCCCACACTCTAAGGAGACCCTACTCTTACCCACAGTATTCTTTGAGGAGTTTGAGAACCAAAGTCCAGTTTCACACATAAAAACACGTCTGTGAGATTTTCATTAAAATTCTGGGTTTCTGCCTTTACTAAATTTGTCATCTCTGAATATTCCTAATTTTATCAACAACTCATCAAGTCTTACAAAATATTTTTTTTTCTTTCTAAATGTTTTATCTTATCCAATAAGTTCAGTTGTTTTCAACAGGAAGGCCCATTGGGATAACTCATCTGCCATATTCCCAGACATGGATTTCTCTGGAGTCTAGATTTTTTTCCAGAAAATTCTTGCCTTTCCTGATATAGGATTGTCAAGGAGCAGCCAGATTGTACAGTCAAGCAAAACAAGAGAATCTAATATACCTGCCCAGTCATTAATTAATCTGTATATCCATGCTTACTGTAATCTAGAATATGTCAATGCCATTCAGGGGATTTTTTTAAGCCATATGAAATAGTCCACCCTGTCTGAGAAGATAAAAGAGGGAAAATACATTCAACGAGGTATGCGTCTTCATTTTGCTTGGTCTTAATCTTTAATTTACCTCAGGGAAAGACATAATCACATGTTTGGATTCTATTTTGAGATCTTCTTATAGACCACAAAAAATGGAGCCAAGTTCCAGAGCTCTTTGAGAAGTTCTGACTTCAGGGGGAAAAGGTCAGGAATTCAAGGCAGGTGACTGTCTCCTGACCAGCCAGTCTCCTTTTTTCTTTCCTTTTGCTATTCCTTTTGAACACCATACATCACATGCCTTCAAGCCAACCTACTCATTTTAAGAGAAAGAAGAAACTGGCTTGATTTTCTTCTTTACCTGTTGCCTGGATTCATGTCCTGGGAGAATATAAGCCCTTTATAAAACCTTTCTTCTGATAGAGATTTTTTTAGAGCTAGCATAGTAACTAGAAGTAAGAGAATGGGTTTTGGGGCTTGACATTCTTGCATTCCTCGCAGCTTACTGGTTGTGGGCTTTGGGCAGATCAAAACAATGCACATTTTCTTTCAGATGGCCAGTCACTGCTTCTTATGGTGCATATGAGGATTAAATGAGAAAATGCATGTAAAAATGTTTATTAGCATGCTGCCTGTCAAAATATGCCCTCAATAAACTCTTACTAGTAGATGTAAAGGAGAGGTTTTTTTTTGTTTTTTAATTTGACATTTATCATCACGTGTTTCTCGTTTGAAACTTGGAGAACTTTTTCAGGCTTTGTGTGTTCCCTGTGAACAGAGCAGTTGACAGGACAGGTGAGAATGCTCTTATCTACCTGGAGTGACTTTTGTCTAGGGGGTAGGCGCTCTGAGGGAATTATCTAGGTCTTCTACATCTTCAAGGAGAGCATCTCCAATCTGTGGTCTCTCTTCAATAACTGCTGAACGTAAAGACTGGCTACAACTCAAGGAACTTTAAAAATATACCTAGAGGTGTGTCAAAAGTCTGGAAAGCATTTATTTCAGTGTTGGCTGGCGTGGGGTGGGTTATGGGGAAGGCTGTGGAGGGAGGGAAATTCCACCACCCAGGGAAGCTTTGAAGCTAGGATATCTTACAGAGTATTTTTGCTGGACCATCTGGACATTGGCAAAAGATTGCAGTCGTGTGGTTAGGTTTTAATAAGATCAAGTCAATCAAGCACTTGTTTATGGTACCCCTACGGTATGCAATCCTTCCGGGCCAGCAGAGAGATTGCCAAACAAGACAACACAGCCCCTGCCTTCATGGAGTTAAACCGAGGAAGGCAGAATCAGTGCAGTAAGTGTCAGGAGGTGAAATAAGTGCCCCATTTTCCTTGAGTATCACTTTCTAGGGTCACGTAGAACGATGTGTGCACCACCTATGGACTTCTGCAGAGTGCTGTGGGGCACATTTCAGGGTAAAGGCTTATTCTGGTTCAGTAGAAGGTTGCTATTTTATAATTAATCTCCTCTTTGTTTGTTCTCACTCATCCGCATTACTGACCCAGATAGCCAGTAACCTAGGGGAGGACAAAAGATATCCCACGGCCAGGCAAATTTTTAGGGCTGAAACTCATGGGCCCTAGCTTGGAGGACTTTCAGAGGAGCTTCTTACACCTCTCCTGTGAATTGTATGAGTGAACTGAACTCGAGAATCTGGTGCCTCCTCACTGGCTGCCATGCCCAGTCTGAATCTTCTTGGGTCC